TGCCTGGAGAATGTCATTCTAAGTGAAGTAAGCCAGAAAGAGAAAAAAAATACCATATGAGGAATCTAAAAAAAAACAACAACAAAGCATAAATAAAAAATAGAAATAGACTCACAGACATAGAATATAAACTTGTGGTTGCCAAGGGGGTGAGGGGTGGGAAGAGAGAGACTGGGATTTCAAAATTGTAGAATATATAAACAAGATTATACTGTATAGCACAGGGAAATATATACAAGATCTTATGGTAGCTCACAGAGAAAAAAATGTGGCAATGAATATATACATGTTCATGTATAACTGAAAAATTGTGCTCTACACTGGAATTTGACACAGCGTTGTAAAATGATTATAAATCAATTTAAAAATGTTAAAAAAATTTTTAAAAAGTAAAAAAAAAACCTTCATATTTAGAAAACAAATTATACAAATGCAAAGTTAAAAATACCTATAAGAGTTAAAAAGCAAAAGAGTTGTCTTTTTCCAAGCAGAAAATGTAAGATGGTTAAATTATAACACTTTAATTATCTTAGATTTTTCAAACCAAAAGTCTGTTTGATTTGCATATATTTTACAATTAAAAATAAGTTGCACATTTATAAACAAAGTAACCCTACAACAAATGTTTAATTTGGTCTATCAATATCATGATTATACGCCATAGTATGCCATAGTGTTTTAGAACATGAGCAGTGGAATCTGAAAGACATGAGTTCGAAGTTCTTCAACCATCTACCAGCTGTTTGACTTCAGATAAGTCACTCAGCTCTATTTCCTCATCTATAAAATAGGAATGTAATAATTCCTACCTCTTGGGGTTGTTGTAAGAAATAAATGAGATAATATATGGAAAGTCCTTGGTTTGGAGTCTGACATATGGTAAGCAGTCAGGAAATGGTCTTAGGAAAATTGTATAGGATAAACAAGCTTCCTATTAAATACAGTCACTTAAATGCCTCTGTGTGTGTGTGTGTTTGTGTAAAATGGTTTTTGACTTGGCAAAATTATAGGAATTAGAGATTTATTATGCTCAATAAGATCAGTGAACTCTGTTTTCTCATTTAACTTATGATCTTAAAAAAATAGAACTGTAAATCTTTACTTTAAAATACAGGTGTTTAAATAAATTCTCCCTTAGGCTCATGTAAGTCTGTTGAGCTCTCACTTAAAAGTTTTCCTATTTTTCTTTATTTTCTTGAAGGGATGGGTATGTTGCTGTTTTTATATTACAAGTAAAAGTAACTTTTATGTATATTTGACAGAAACTATGTGAAGCAGGAGTCTTCCTGGATTTCACAAGACATCACTTCATCATGGGACAGCAAATTTCAGATCAGACGCAGTTGGTTCTTAACAAGCTACCAGAAAAAGTAGCAAAACATGTCGCATTGGTTCGAGAAAGTAGCTCCTTAACGTACGAAGAATTTCTTGGGAGAGTAGCTGAACTTAATGATGTGTAAGGCTTGCTCTTTTTCATTTTATTTTTCCCCCGACATATGGCCCAATATCATGAGTATCTGAGAGGGAACCAGAACTATTGATTGGTAAGACTTATTAATATTTTCAGCAGCAGTTAGCAAATGTTTATTGAGTACTTTAAGATTTCCTACGTGGCTATTTAAAAATATGTAATAGAAACAAAAGAGAATGAACTTAAAATTGAATTTCGAACACAGACATGTAAATTTATTCTTACTTGAAAGCACTAAAGAGGGTGCATAACAGAAGAGAATATACTAATTAGTCACTCTAGAGAAAGACTCCTAGGGTGGTGAAAGGACACTCAGATTTTTGTACATCAACCAGTTCATCTAGCTAATAAATAAATCTTCTGTGTTTGTTCATTGAGCCATTATTTTGCCAGAGAAATATATATGATAATAATTCATTTGTCAAAAATAGGACATTTTGTTTATAAATATTTTATAATTAGCTAATATCTTTAAATCTCTACTTAACTCTTGAATAGGTTTCTAAGATGGAATAAACTCTGCCTCCTTAAAGAGCACACCTAGTAGAACTTAGCTGTCTCTTTGTTACTTATTCTTTATTATATCAATTTTTATGATGATCTATATAGAAGCTATTAAAATACACAAGGCTCTTTGTCCTAAAATGACCCCAGATTGTAATACTTTTAAAATACCGCTTTTTTGTTTGTGTGTTCTCCCCTAGTGACAGGGGAGCAGATGGCGCTTTTTCCTATTAAATCTTCCTCAGCAGCACCCATATCTGCCTCTCTTTGTTTATGTATCTCCTGTCTCCCTGGGGATATAGTTATAACTTACTAATGCTGCCTTTTAAATGAGATCTTAAAGTTTCTCTCTTTATTCAATTTAGCTAACGTTCACTAAGCACATAGTTTGTGCAAGGCATTCTGCTGATGGTCAGACATTTTAACTGAGACCTAAAGTGATTACCCACTTAGTAATGGCAGATCCAGCTCTCCCTAGGTCTGAAGTTCTTTCCACCAGCTCCCATTACTGCTCCTTAAACCCCAAAAAGGCCAAATAAAATCACCCAGTAGTCTGAGACCACTTAGCACGTATAACTTTATATATTATAGTCCCTATTAATAATTTAGAGTAAGATATGTGAATGTACTCCCTAAGCTTTGTGGACGATAAGAGACGTGCTTGGCTATCTGGAACACTTTAGATAAAGAGAAGGAAATACAGTCCTTCTGTGGACATAGCTGGCGTGTACTGTTATTGGCCAGTCATGAAGAATAAAGCATTCTTAACTCTTAAAGTTCTCTTAGGAGATCATTTCTTTTAAGAACACTGGATTTCACTCATTAAAAACAAACCAAAAAACCCTGTATGGGTATATGGATGGATCCTGTATGGGTGTATATGTAAATGCTTAGAAAATGAACTAGAAGGATACACACTGGGTCTCTGGGGAGTTGGTGAAAATGAGGGGCAGTGAAGGGAGATTTTACATTTTACTGCGTATGTTTGTGTATTGTATGATCTTTTATAATAGAAACATAGTCATGGGTTTTTTAAACTCTAGCATTTTACTTTGTTCTTTTTTTTTAAAAGATCATCCAGATGGTAGCATTTGAGGTTTTACTTCTGAGACCATATTCTTCAGGAATAAAATTGGATTGAGAGTTTAATTGTATCATAACAGTGGAATGCTTTTTTAGGTTTATTGTTTCAACTTTTTTGAAGAGTAATCATGACATTTTCCATTCCTTTAGAAAATTAGAATTGAATACAATAAACCTATTCTAGTCTATGAAATTTTATTTTTTAGTCTAAAGATACTGGATAAAATGTGTCCTATGAAAGCGTCCGCAAGCTAAGCTTACTGTGTAATACAGAGGTGATGGTAAAGAGTATCTTACTTATTTAGCACAGGATGTTTCTGACTCGATTTGCTTCTTAAAACCAATTCCCCTGGGTCAGAGTTGGGCACCTCACAAGTTCAGTGCTGTCTGAGAACAATAAAGTTAAACCTGCACAAAAGAAGCGTGGCTCGATAACTAGAAAACAGCTGTGAACTGGCAGTACTACTTTCCCTGGCAGACTTTGTTACGTAGAGCTGGTTACTTAATTTTCAGTGGCCTCAATTTATGTGACTATAAGTCACTTAATTCTGAGTGTGATATCCCCACTGGTGCTCAGAGAGAAATGTGAGTAATGATTAAAAAAAAGGAGCTGCAATACTTGATTACGTCTTTGAACTGATTTAAGTTGGTGTTGATAAATGATACTGAATTAGCCTCTAAAAAGTGTCATACTTCTATATTAGTACCCTGTCACTCTCTAAATTAGAATTACTCTGCTACTGGAAGACAGTAAACTTATATAAGTGTCTCAAAATCATTTGCTTCATCAATCCCACATTATCTATAAAAATTTTTTTCAAAGAAGTATGTAAGTGTTGCTTAAGGAAGGACTCAAACAAGGGCAACATTTTTTCACACCTTATATACATCTGAGGCAATAGGCAAAATTTGGACAAGTGAAACCAGCTAAAATTTTCTGTAAGTACTTGACTCCTTACATGTTTTTCCTAGATGTCTTTGTTAGAAATTTAAAGACCATTGAAATATAGATATGACAAAAATTTATAAATGCCATTCCACTGTGCTGTTGACCTTGGAAATTAAATTGCATGTTTATGATCAAAACACTATCTGTGTGTTTCAAGAATCTAATTATTACAATCATTGGATCGTTATTTTTTTTTGTGTCTTCAAATTTCCTTCTCTGCTTTAAAGTGTTTCTTGAATCTGGTTTCATAGCTCCATTATTTTACATGATTTTTCATAAAATTAACAAATGTGTTTGTCTCTTTTCAGAACTGCTAAAGTGGCTTCTGGCCAGGAAAAACATCTTCTCTTTGAGGTACAACCTGGATCTGATTCCTCTGCCTTTTGGAAAGTGGTTGTACGAGTAGTCTGTACCAAGGTGAGAGTGATAGAGGCTTCCAGCTCTGAGCTTAAACTATTTTGGTGGTTAGAACCACATTTAATAGTATAATATAGTGAAAATAAATGTTAATAATTTGGTTATATTTTGGTCATTACTAAATATTTATTTATAAAACTATGTAAAACAGTTTTGATACTGTTATTGCCTTCTAGGTTAACTATTTGAATCTCAATGGTTGTATAATTGCCATATTGTAGAGATTTTTGTACTCAAGGAAGGTGGTAGTAACCTCATTCTTACCTTCTTTCTACCTCTCTTTTTGGATTTTAACTGACTGGAATCCTAAGGTGACACCCTACTTAGCTCTAAGATGACTCCTTACAAATTAAAGTTATTTTAGGAGATTATTTCTTTCAAGAACACTAAGTTTCATTCATTAAATAATTTTAAAATCCATTAGAATGGTTTGATTTGGGGGGGATATAGTAATTTTTAGTTATAGAATGGATGTTTCACCATCAATGCACTATGTTTCTTATTTCATCTCTAAATCTTAGAGAATTGAGTATATCAGCTGTGCTAAAAAAAATATGATGGCAGCTGTCACAGAGTATTAGGAAGCCTCATCCAGTAATGAGTAGATTAGGTGGTTCTTAACCTTTTTGAAGCCACAGACCTTTGGTCTAAAACAAACACAATAAAATCATCTATATGCATATGAACAATAAGTTGGGCATTTATGAATACCTAGAATCCCATTCCTGATCAACCCATAAAGAACTCCTGGGTAAGGAGATTTTTTTCTTTTGCATCATGGACCCTGGATATTACCCAAGTAATATGCCACATTTCCCCAGTAGGTTGATTGCCACTACTATGTCATAAGTATAGTAGGGCTGATTATGTTTAGTTGATCCAATTTGAAGGTTTAAGTAGTAAAAGAACTTTTAAAGAGAATTGGAGGAGCAGAGACAGCAGATCTTAACTCCGACTTGGCTGAGTTAAATTGCGCCTGTTAGAGTTTACAGTTGATTTAGAAAAAGCATATAGCTTAATACCATTCACCTGGGTCTGTCCACATTGAACATTTGCTTATTGATTTTTTTTTAAGTTCAAACGTTAAAAAGCACTAAAATAGCTGCCAGAGAACCATCATTCACAAAATTTTGCATTATTCATCACAAAGGTAGCTAATGTGATACTGGTGCGGGCAGCAGTGTAACTTTATACAGTATATAATGTGTTACAAATCATAGTAACAGAATACACACTGAAAGCTTGTTCCGAGATCATATTTTGTTATTTATACTTTGATTCTTGGGCCCAAAAATTGTATACTAACCACATATTTTTTCCATTTTCTGTTTTCTTTGTTTTTGTTATTGGGTTTATATTATATTTTCCATTAAATTCACTGGGGGTTTTTAACACTGTTATAAATATGCAAACTCCCAAAAAAGAACTTTGGGAATCTGCAACTTGTGACTCTGCAAAGGAGTAAGATAAGGAAGAAGTGAAAAACTGGGCTAAAAACATGTAAAATCCATTCAAATAGTCTAGGTATCTCCCATACTCCCATTGTCCTATAGCTGTGAGTTTACACTGAACACAATCTTTCAGGACAGTTTGAAAGTCACTTTCAGAGGACAGGTGGGTGAATTTATAAGAACTCTAGTGACAGAGGTCATTTCTGAAAATCACACTTTCTTTCTCCTTTTCTTGCCCTCTTCTGTGCAGTAACCATCTAGCTGATCTTGTCAGTTCTACCTCTACCGGGTTTCACCTCCAGTGTATTTTTAAGACAAAGTTTACACTCTGGAAGAGACTGTAACTAGTGCTCAGGCCCCTCTTTCTTCTCATCCAAATTATCTTAGATTCTGTGATTAATCTCCACATCTTCAGACTCTTCTCCTAATTCTAATTTATGATGCTGTGAGAATAACCTTTCTAAAGCACAACTTTTACCACATCACTTTTCTGCTTAAAATTCCTTAAAAATTCCTCCTTGGCTACAAAATAGTCCCAACTCTAGCCTGGCATTTGAAGCCCTCTGCAATATGGCTCCATGCTATCTTTTCTGTTTTATTTACCACTATCCTTTTCTGCCATCTACAGTCTCACCAGGCTTAACTAATTTAAGTCTATGTAGCTGTTACTTTCCCATCTCGGTGCCTCTGCTCGTTGAGTTCCCTCAACTGGAATGTCCATTCTTCTGTCATTTAAATTGCCATTGGCTACAAGTCACAGAAAAACCTCTGTTCCACCAGTTTAAACAAAATAGTATTTTGTCACTTATCAAGAAATCTTTTTATTAAAGTAGCCCCTGGATTGGTTAATTCAAAGACCTAGGGCCTAGAGATTATCACTAAGTGAAGTAAGTCAGACAGAGAAAGACAAATATTATTTGACATCATTTATATGTGGAATCTAAAAAAACTGATACAGATGAAATTATTTACAAAACAGAAACAGACTCAAACATATAAAACAAACTTACAGTAACCAAAGGGGAAAGGGCCAGGAGGAGGGGTAAATTAGGAGTTTTAGATGAACAGATAGACACTACTATATATAAAGTAGATAAACAGCAAGGACCTACTGTATAGGGAACAACAGTCAGTATCTTGTAATAACCTATAATGGAAAAGAATCTGAAAAAGAATATATATATGTATATGTATGTATATAACTGGATCACTTTGCTACACACTTGAAACAAACACAACATACATCAATAAGCAAAAAAAAAAAAAGAAAAAAAAAACCCAGAAACAACAATAAAAAAAACCAAAGACTTAGCAGATCCCTCTTTCTGACTCTGGGTCAATATTTGCTCACATCCCTTTCTTATACCTACACTGGCAGAGGGGATGTGATGACTGTGATTGATTTAGATTAGACTAACCAAGATTGACTCCTGAGTCATTTCAAGAAGTGGTAGACAAACACCAAAACAAAATTAGAGCTCTGCAGGCAGTGAAAAGTGGGAATGGCATTTGGGTAATTGGCTAATAGTTTCTGCCACATCTTTTATTTCTGCATATCTAAACTTAATGTCTCTTTAAAGGTCCACCTCAAATACCATCTTATCCATAAAGTCTTCCCTAACAGAAATTCTCTTGGCTCTTCTAAACTCCAACAGTACTTTATTTGTACTTCATGATTAAATACTACGTTAAGAATAAAATTATTTAGTTTCTTAGTTCCTCTAGTAGGTATTCGGCTTCTGAGGACAGGAACTCTGTCTAGATTCATTCTAGTATCTTACAGCCTCCAGTGTTTTGTACCTGGTAGGAACTGAATATATCTTGAGTGAACAAAAATCTGTTGAAGAAATATTCTTGTTTTAAGTGACTGTGATATATTGAAGCTTTGTTTATTGATACAGTAAAGTACCTAAATTACATTTTATCCATCTTTATTTTATAAAATGCTCAGCTCACATCAAAGGGACCAATATGAATTGTAGAAAGCTGTAGTAATCAGATTTCTGATTCCTTATTTTTCTGGTGCTCCTCTTTGGCAAATACATAATTAATGTTTAATTTTACTATTGGTCACGTTTTTTCTTTTTTTGCTGTAGTATCTTTAACCATTAATTACATCTTTAAAATAAGATTCTAAGAGAAAAATATTAAAGACAGAGGCAGTCAGATTTTTCATTTGTATAATTTTTCTTGATTTTAGCTCTACTCTAAAGAAATGTTTCATTTGCATTTCTTAGGTTCTTTCTGAGAGAATATGAGAAGTCAGTGTTTACGTTAGGAAAAAAAAAGTTTAAGTCCAATAGAAAAAACTGATAGACTGGAATTTCATATTTCTTAACCTTAAGCAACTAAAAACAATTTATAGTAAGACCTTATCTTGACTATCTGTTGTGATGATTATACTCAGTTTAATTCATTATAGAAATAATCTAAATGATGTTTAAATGGAATATTTTGTGGAAATAGTATTAGAAAAATTAATGGGTTAATTAAAATTATGCACTAAGGTGGCTGTTAAGAAACTTTATTAATTATATTATTATCATCTGTCTTTCTGCGTAGACCAAATCCTTGGAGTCATCCTTAATGTGTCTTTTTCTGTCATACCCCACAGTCAGTGCATAAGTGAATCCTGTCAGGTTTCTGTTCAGAATATATTCAGAATCTGGCAACTCTCACCATACCATCTTCACTACTATCACCTTATTCCTAGCAACCATCGTCTCTCACTGGGATTATTCCAATAGCTTTCTAACTGGTCTCCCTGCTTCTGCCCTTGTTCTCATTCATCTGGTCTCAGCACCACATCCAGTCTTTTCCACTCATAATCTGAAATGAAATCAGATAGTACTCCTTGGCTCAAAACCCTCCAGTGACTTCTCATGCACTTGGAATAAAAGCCAAAGTCATTATTATGATCTGCAAAGTCCTATACATTCTTTCCCTGCCTCACTCCCTAACCTTATCTTCTGCCAGTCCTCCTTCCCTCTCATTCTTGTGTTAAATGCCTAGGATATATTGAAGCTTTGTTTATTGATACAGTAAAGTTCCAGCCACCCTGGGCTCCTTGCTGGACTCTGTGCTCCTTGCCAGGAGCACTTCTGCTTTTGCACTTCCCATTCCCTCATCCTGGAATGCTCCCGCCCCCCATATCCATATGATTCATTACATCTCTTCTGATTCTTAAATATCACCTTCTCTGTGAGGCCTTCCCTGCAACCTTTCAGCATTTTCTCTCCTCTGCTTAATATTCTCCATAACACTTATTTCTAATCTGTAGTTTATTTATCTGTCGCTCATACCTATAGTGTAACCTCTGTGAGGGCAGTGATTTTTGTCTGTCTTTTACACACTGTGTCACCAGTGCCTAGAGCAGTACACATAGTACCTATAACATCTACATAATAGGTACTCAGTAAATACTTGTTGCACGAATCCTATGATTATAATAATTGCAATTTGATAAACTTGCCTGTTAAATACTAAGTTTATATGAATTATTCCCTAATCTTTTCTGAACTGTGCAGTTCCAAAAGAAGACTGGTCCAGTTTCCTCGGCTCTGAAAGCCTTATTTTGTAAGCCTCCATAAATTCCTGTCAACTTTAATTCTGTTTATTTGTTCTCTACCCCATGTATAGTTTTGTCACAGAGAATCTTACATATTTGCAACTCCATATAGATTTTACTTTCCCACAATTTTAATCAATTTTCTGATTATTAGAGATGGTTCTACAATTTTCAGTGTGGAATCTGATTCATATTTTTTTAATTGAATTACAGTCAATTACAGTGTGTCAATCTCTGGTGTACAGCACAATGTCCCAGTCTTGCTTAAACACACATATTGGAATCAGATTCATACTTGATTCTCAGTTTTTTCCCTTACTACCTTCTCAAGTAGTAAACAATTAATAAACATTAGTTACAACTAATTTTATTTTATTCCAAATATTGAAAGTTGCTATCATCATGTTTTTTAAATTTGTAACCTAACTACTTCACTTTCTCATGCCCCCAGTCCCATCAACACATTTAAAAACATATTTCATGTACAATTTTAAGGCTCCCTCCATATCTCTCCCTGCATTCTTCGTTTCTTTCTAAATGTTTTCTGATTTTGTTTGTTCCATTTACTTTGACATGCACTTTGATTTCACTGCTTGCTTCTGTTCCTACAGTCTTCCATACTGTCTCCTGTCCTGAAAGGAAGTCTTTCACACTCTAATCTGTCTCTGGTTACTTCAGGTTCTTCATTCAAGAATATTATGCCCTCAACCCTACTGGCTTTGGTCATTTCAAAAGAGAATATATGCCCTACTTCATGAGGCCCCAAGACTTATGAAGGCAGTATTGTCTCTCCTTACCTATTATCTCATCCTTGCCCCAAATATCTCCTCACAGTAAGAATGTAAGCTAGAGTAGGGAGAGGAACAACCTGTAGGCCAGTAAATGAGTTTTTTGCTAAAGCTCAAAATGGTCTTCTGGGAAAAAATCAACCACTTTTGTTAGGATTTATTTTAATGCAAATTTTTTCTTTCATTTGGAAGTTTTGATACATAATAGAACTTAAGATATTCAAGAAAGCAATCTGTTGTTTCAGTTATTTAGAGTGATATGTGGTTGTTGGATTGAAATAAATCTTTAATTATTTAGAAATTAAAATGAAAATAATTGTCAATACTGATCTCTTAAGTCTGGAAAAGTTGTCTGACCTCAGCAACTCTAAACAGAATTATGCCTAATCAACACTACAGGGTTGAGCATCAAATGAGATTAAATTATGTGAGTATTTGAACCCCACAAATGTAGGGGACAGGATATTATTCATTTGCTGAGATTCTTGCTCTCTTGGTAGGTAATTTGCAAACCTTGAAAACATCTGTTTCCTAGGATATTTGACTAAATATTTGTTCACCCTTTCTGAGAAAAATTGACAGGAAAAATTACCAACTTTTTTTTTCATTTTCTTTATATTAAATTAGATTAACAAAAGCAGTGGCATTGTGGAAGCATCACGGATCATGAATTTGTACCAGTTTATTCAGCTTTATAAAGATATCACAAGTCAAGCAGCAGGAGTATTGGCACAGAGCGCCACCTCTGAAGACCCTGAGGAAAACTCTTCATCTGTAACATCTTGTCAGGCTAGTTTTTGGATGGGAAGGTATACAGATGCATAAATACCATGTTTCTTTTATTTGCTAACCTGCAAACTACGAAATCTCATTAATTTTTATTGGTGTTCTGTGACATCTTAAATCCCATTACTTTTTGTCTCAGCTGATACTATATCCCACATCAGCTTTTGAATTACTCTGTGCTTCAGGACATTGTTAGAGTGCCAAATTGAAGAAAAACTAAAGTGGCTCACACCAGGTAATGTTTCTGTCAACCCAGTTTCCACTCTTCATTCTGCCTGCTTGCACTTAATGACAAAAGATATAGTTTGTACCCCTCTTATAATAGGAATTTAGGTTCTTAGATAATTGAAGCCCTTCAGGGAATTAGGTCCAAGAATCTGGCAAAACCATTCCAGTTTTTCTTAAAGATATCTGACTAATTGGAGCATTAACATTGTAAATATTGGCTCTAGGACTTGGCAGTTCATTCAGGAATGAACAAGTAGTTGGTGCACATATTGCATGTACTGAGTTACCAAAAGGAAATGAAATCAGCCAGCATTTCTGTGGTGGTGCTTGTTTACTCAGGCCTAATGAATTATTCCATCGAAACTTTCTTTTCCTTCTCTATACTGCTTTTGGCATGTGAAAGCTTGCACCTGTTGCCATTTGACAACCATGACCATAATTTAAATTTGTAAATGCCTCATTGGAAAAAGGCTTACGTGGGTCCAGACATGCTGACATCCTGTCTTATTGTCATACAGGGTAGACAGCACAAATCTGTATTGATAGTGTATTTTATCTTAAAGTTAAGAATATGCTTAACAAGAACTTCTCTTTTATCGTTCCGTTTGCAATTGCATTTTCCAATCCATTCTTAACCAACTGGTTTCTAGATACTATGTTGTAGCAAAATTGTATTTTAACTTATTATTTCCTGTTTATCTTTAATAGAATTGTTTGGCTTTCATGTTTGGGCTGTACAAGTATTACTGATGAAATGCTAAATGAATTTTAGAACATTATAGGCAGCATTTAGGCTTATCTTTCCTGTATTTTGTGAGATTACTCTTTCAAAGACAGGCATCTGATTTTCTGCTTTTCTTTCCTCTCTATCTTCTGCACAGTGATTTTTTTTTAAAGTATTTTCAAAGTTGAGAACAGTATTTACTAAGCTCTATGGTAGCAAATGAAATGAAAGTAATACTCTTTTCTTGTATCTTAA